GTTAAATGAAAATTCCTCTCACCATCAATATAAACCATATATATTTTATAGTTCAATAACAATGTGCAAAATTCTTCGACTTGATTTATGAAATATAATGCTCTTTAATTTCCGTCGATGCCATTATATATACGAATACCAAGACGACTTTTATGCTAAAGTTATGGTTTAATGATTTCCCCTCGTCAATCGTAAAATCTGTTATTACAACGTTCCATTTCTAAATCGTACATGAATCATTTGGGCCAGAGATAAGAAAACCTTCTCTGTTATTATTATTTACCTGGATATCTTTATCAATATTTATACAGGCAGAAGTATTTACAAAAGGACAGCAATTGTTTAACCCTGAGTATAAATAAACGCTCGACGAAGTGCGAACAGTAAATCTTTTATACGATGTGTCAAATATAATTTTATGCTTTTAAATAAAAAAGTAAAAGAATGGAATGCCTTAGCTGACAATGTTTGATATTCGATGTTAACAAAATAAAACAAAAATTCTCTTCATCATATATTATACTCTAAAATGATTTATCGCCGGCGAATATTTAAACTTAAGTTGTAAACTTTTTACGACCCTCGACTGTAAAATTCCATGCGAGTAATTGTGTAGTTTACAAGAGAAACTCATTGGACACGATCGACAAAGCTGGTTTATCAAACTCGACCTTTGTTTATAGTTTTGTTGGCATTAAACATAACATTGAAACATAAACGTTGATCATTCTTTAAGAAAAACCTAGTTGAATTTTTAGAGAAAAGTGGGAACTTTTTAATATTCGGTCGTGAAAACATTTTATTTAACTATTATTAATCTTTTGCGCAATAAACTTTAAAAAACTTTCGCCAAAAGTAAACAGAAGAAACTAGAATGAAGATTCTCTCGGATAGGAGTTAGTAGTCGATTACTTTCTGGGCAGATGTCTAGTCTGTTCTTCTTTACGTCTTTCCTAGCATAATTTCATAATTCGATAACGGTCATAAAAGAGTTTCGTTTCTACCACCAATTAAACGTCGTAAAAAACGCAAGATTGTAAATTTATCGCAAGTTCAAAGGTTGTTTATTTAATATTATGTGAGGAGGATGGTTTGGAAAAAATTAAACTTGTAACTTTAAGAATACTACTTGATGAATCGTTAAGAGATCTTACTGGGAAGGGATATTCTTTAATTTACGATCCTGGGCATTGAGTCATCTTTAAAAGGGGGGGATCAAGCAATAATTTTAAAAAAATTCTACAAAATCTAATATTTTTTGTAGTAATTTTTCACTTTAACATTGTACTTGATGAATCGTCTCCCTGGGAAAAGGTATTCTCTGGTTTTGCATCCTGGGCTCATCAATATATATGTATAATATATTTTTTTTTTTTTTTTGAAACATCTAATATTCTAGTAATTTGTATCTTTAAGAATACTACTTGAATCGTTAAGAGGCAACTTACTGAGAAGGGATATTCTTTAATTTACGATCCTGGGTTTTGAGTCATCTTTAAAAGGGGGTCAAGCAATAATTTTAAAAAAATTCTACAAAATCTAATATTTTTTTAAGTAATTTGTCACTTTAGACTGTACTTGATGAATCGTCTCCCTGGGAAAAGGTATTCTTTGGTTTTGCAACCTGGGCTCATCTCTAATTAAAAGGGCCCATAATTTTTATAGATTTGTATTTTGTGCAAAATCTAATATTCTAGTAAATTGTAATTTCAAGAATACTACTTGATGAATCGTTAAGAGACAACTTAATGGGTAGGGATATTCTTTAATTTAGGATCTTGGGCTTTGTCATCTTTAAAAGGGGCCAAGCACAGCAAAAAAGTCTCACAACCCAAAAAGGGTTTTTTTAGGGGTAGGTACAACTGGATTTTTAAAGTTTGAATTCTTGGACAAACGAAAGACAATATTGATGAATCATGATAGTTTTTATTGCCAACTAATTGGGTGCATTTAATACATAAATTAAAAAAGTAAACTTCCATCTATCTCTCCTGTAAAATTTTCTTTTTTTTAGTTGCGTCATTTTTCTTGTGAGTGTGCGACATATGTACTCATTAATTTTATACAAATACAAATTTGTCAGATATAGCAAAACCTGTAGGAATTTTTGAGTGATCTATAAGTCAGTCTTTTATGCTTTTTTGGACTTGTGATTTGTTTAAAAAAACACGTTTTGCCATTGAAAATGATTTGACGAAACATTGAATGTTGAGCTCTTGTAGTCATTGTGTTTCTAAATTTCTTTTTGTTGAAAAATTTACAACTTTGCTTAAATTATAGAGGTTTGCCAAGGGAAGATTTATTCGAGCTAGTATTAATTGTTTAAACCGTTTAATGTGCGTAATTATTTAGGGAATTTTTTTGCTTATTCAATCGCCGAATTCACCACGCACGAGTGGTTTTTTGAAAAGGAGTCGTAATGGGTGTGGTTTAATTTTAACGTTACACATCTGCCCACCGTATGAATCACAATTCCCGACCAAAAAGGTACACAAAAAAATTGAAAATAAACGAATCGAAGAGGGGGCAATCCACTTTAATACGGTAGGTGCTAGTTTATACTTCCACGAACTTCTATCTGATGGAACAAAGTCGTTCCAGGAACTAAGAGTTAACTTGTTTGGGTCATCTTGTATACCAGGAGTTTTTGTTGGGGTTGAGACCACGTGTCTTCTCCCTTCTCTTTCTTCTTCCCTTTCTCTCTACCACTCCACTTCTCTGCCCATCAATGGTACAAGGGTCCGAACGGGTTGGTTAGACCTGACAGCTCCTACGTACGCTGTGCAATTGATAGCCATCAGTTCTGGGTCTAGAGGATAGGATGAATTTATGCAGAAGGGAAACGGTTCACTACAATCCTCATGAATTAAAGAACTTCATTGTAGTTTATATTCCTGTGGTTTAAATAAATTAGACTAGTACAAATAAATCAATTCAATCAATTATTTAGTTCATTCAATAATTTTTTCAAAAATTTAATCGTAATAATTAGCACTATGATGAACGACATAGAAAAATATGTATTAAGATGAACCTTTCTTATAAGTTGGAACTTTCAGAAATGTACAAATTTGCTTAACGAAAAAGCTGAATTTTAATAAGTGAATATCAAATATATTTAATTAACAAAAAAGCAATTTTTCGTCAGACTATACTATATTTAACTAATTATATTCAAAATTTAATAAAAAGACAAAACGCATTTCTTGGAACAAACAAGAATGTTTGTAAATAGATCTAGTAAAAGTGATTTTTTCTTTTTTCCGGTACGTTTTTCAAGTAAAAACCGGATTTTCGTTAGTGCATATACAATGCGTAACTACAATCTTTCAAATCTTGACGGGAAAAAAAGAAAAAGAAATGTTTCTCTTGGAACGAACTCTCGAAACTTCGTAAATGCATCTTCATCGACCTATTTTTTGTTCGTAATATCCGATTTTTTTTTCAGGACGTTTTGCAAGTAAAACAGATAATCTTTGATAAGCGAATATAGAATATAATTGACTAATTACATCCAAAACGTTCTGAAAAAATAAATGCGTTTCTTGAAAGAAACACTTATTTTAGTAAATGTATCTAGAAAAAGGTATTTTTTCTTAGCAATATCCGTTGTTTTATCTAGTGAACATACAAGATTTAACTAATTATATATGATTAGGGGTTTAAATACTTATTTTAACTAATTACTTTCAAACCGTTCCGTTAAAAAAGAAAAAGAAATGTTCTTCTTGGAACGAACTCGAATCGTTGTAAATGCATCTTCAAAGACCTATTTTTTCTTCGTAATATCCTATTTTTTCAGGACGTTTTGCAAGTACAACATAGAAACTTTGATAAGCGAATATAGAATAATAATTGACTAATTACTTCCAAAACGTTCTGAAAAAATAAATGCGTTTCTTGAAAGAAACACGAATCTTTGTAAATTCATCCGCAAAGGTTTATTTTTTCTTCAGAATAAACGATGGTTTTTCTTATTTTCAGTAGATTTTGCTAGTAAAAAACCAGATTTTCATTAGTGAACTTACTATGCTTATTTAGTTACTTTCAAAACGTCCTTAAAAGAAAAAAAGAAATTGCATTTCTTGGAAAACACTGGCATCTTTGTATATATATGTACAAACAACATTTTCAAAAATGTTTTTCTGCTTTTTAGCGTATGGTTGTTACAATAAATTACATCAATAAATCTGTTTTTTTACTGGGGATAAGAAAATAATATGCTGACTCGTTTTAAATGAGATTAGATGTATAAAAATTACAAACAATGAAAGACCCTTCCAATAAAATAGTGTTTTTGAACAAATCAATTCAGTTTTGTTTTAAGTACCCTTAAATACGAATTTTTATTGCAAACTAAAAATATAAAATTTCACCAAGGGGGGAGGGAATTTCTTTCTCTACGATGTCCTGTGTAATAAAACACACTTCTGGATTTTATCCAACTTCAACGTTCTTACAACCTTTTTATGTAAGGTCTTGGTTGAGATGAAAAAGCTAGTGACACGAGCGGGATTCGAACCCACGACTTTCGGCTTGAACGGTTAGCTAGTTATTATGAATAGCTAATTAGTTATTCTTTTATTATTAAAAGAATAATTAATTTTAAATAAATAATAGGGTCAATTAGTCCACTAAGCATAAATGGAAGTTATTACAACCCTTGGAATGTTTAATTTCTCTTCTTTCAGCCTTTGGTAAGTTTATATTTTAAGGGATTATAAGTGAGAAAAATAAGTATGAAATCAACAAAAATTCCTCAAATGATTTACGTAATTTCTCCGTTTCTTATTTATTTACAAAACTGGTGCTTGATTCATTATCTATAGTTTATAGAGTACTAAAAACCTGTAAGTTTTCCCGTGGATCAGTTAAGTTATTTTAACTCTATCACCAATTTTCTCAAAAATCGGAAGCATTTCCTGAATTTTTGCAAATCTTTGATATCAGATTTTCACTTCGGCTATATATAATGTTTTTCTTTTTGTCTTCCTCTCCAGAACTCAGAGAAGGACCTGCCGGAATGCGAACCTTGGGCGGTGTGCAGCAAAGTCGACGTCTACGATACACCCTGGCTTGAGAGACAGTGCCGATGTCCGAACCACCAGAAATGCCCCGGACTCGTCACGCCCAACGACGGCCACACGATCACAGACAAAACGAGGCAATTTAAAGTAAGTAGATACACTTAAGAAACCACTTTGAATGAACATAAAAGATGAAATCTCATCCTTTAATTCTCGAAACGTCCAGGCAAAAATCTATGATCCGATATTAAATAAAAACCCTTTGGCTAATTATTCAGAAATCGTGAGATGCGGTCTGGTGTGATGTAGGTTTCAGAAAAACATTTTCTTTATCGTGCCAACGTTTCGATCTTTATAGAGATCATCTTCAGGGCCTGGGATTTACAAACATTGTTTANGGTCTGGTGTGATGTAAGTTTCAGAAAAACATTTTCTTTATCGTGCCAACGTTTCGATCTTTATAGAGATCATCTTCAGGGCCTGGGATTTACAAACATTGTTTAAATTTAACAAATATATGTAGGAATGGAATAAAGTGAATTTATACAATGCAAATAATATATTTTTTATATTCAATCAAAGTATCTCTATTCACTCTCTACTTTATTGATTGAATACAACATAATTTTTTTTTGCATTGTCTAAATTCACTTTTTTCCAATTCCTACATGTATTTGTTAAATTTAAACAATGTTTGTAAATCCCAGGCCCTGAAGATGATCTCTATCAAGATCGAAACGTTGGCACGATAAAGAAAATGTTTTTCTGAAACCTACATCACACCAGACCGCATCTCACGATTTCTGAATAATTATCGATTAAGGGTCATTAATCACCGCACATTTCCATTAATTATTCAGAAATCGTGAGATGCGGTCTGGTGTGATGTAGGTTTCAGAAAAACATTTTCTTTATCGTGCCAACGTTTCGATCTTTATAGAGATCATCTTCAGGGCCTGGGATTTACAAACATTGTTTAGATTTAACAAATAAATGTAGGATGTGGAAAAAAGTGAATTTATACAATGCAAAAAATATTTTTTTTATATTCAATCAAAGTATTTCTACTCACTCACTACTTTATTGATTGAATATAAAAAATATATATTTTTTGCATTGACTAAATTCACGTTTTTCCACATCCTACATGTATTTGTTAAATTTAAGCAATGTTTATAAATCCCAGGCCCTGAAGATGATCTCAACAAAGATCGAAAAGTTGACACGATAAAGAAAATGTTTTTCTGAAACCTACATCACACCAGACCGCATCTCACGATATCTGAATAATTATCGCCTAACGGTCACTAATCACCACACCTTTGGCTAATAAGAAACGCTTGTATGTAAAACTAGCATAGTCAAACTATCCATTTATGTTTTCCTACATGACTTCCCTTGAATATGAATATCAAACCACGGATAGCACAGCGCCCAATTTTCGTCCTGCCTAGTAGTCTTCAATTGGATCAAGTTTTGTCATAATTTTTTTCTCGTTTAAGTATTTTAATATTTTTTCGTCGGGTATTATATGTTAAAATTTTGTCTTTGTTTGTCTCAATCATGTACGGTATACCAGAAAACTACCATCAAATCTTTTTGCACAAAGTAATTGCATTAACTTACATCTTCAGACACGTGACTAACTTATATTGTATAAGTGTATATTGTATCTCAGCTCGATATAATTTGCCTTTGTGAATTTTTCAGCTTTGCGAGCCGGTGAAAAATCTGCCGACCTGCGGCTACTTCAGGGACGTCACCTGGACCCTGACGAGCGGTCCTGACAACATAACGTCGCAGGTAGTCCATTGTCATTGCCCCAAGGGTGCTATAGCGTACCTTATCAAGAGGCAACCTTATCAAACCAGGCATGGTCAAATAGGCTACCACTATTCCTTCGCCTGCTCACCACAAAGTGTAAGCGTATATTATTATTCTTTTTGCATAGGTAGAACCCTAGCTGTTTAATTAATATAACTAACATATACATACATTCATGCAAAACAAGAGTGTTTGTGCTTCAGGAACCGATATAATATTTATTTGTGTATATTCTGTTCCTGTATAATGTATACAAATAAATACACCCAATGTTTTATCATTTGTCTACCATAATCCTTTGAAAAAATCTTTTTGAAACATGGGGTTGTACGTTATTTTCATTCTTACTGACTATATTAATGGTGGTCATTATTTAATTAAATATAAATTGCTGATGCTTTGGGTGTTTGAGCAGTATTTAAGGATGAATATGAAGTAAATACTAACAGGAATGGAATTACCCTCAACACTTTTTATCCGCATAAATTAGGAGAATTTGCGATACTCATGGCTCCAAGGGATGGCATGAACAGGATAATTGAATTGAAACAAAACTTTCAAATAAGAGTAAGTACCAAAAAAGAGTAAGGAGAAGAAAAAACCTCAGCCAATAAAGGGACTTGATTGTACACTGATGGATCTAGAATTCAAGAAGGTACAGAGGAGAGGGCTCAAAAGTCAAATATTCAAGGCCCCTGAGCAATTACATTATTTTATTTCAAGCTGAAATTAATTAAGAGATGTACTCATTTCCATTGGATAGAGGATATAGGTATCAGTCAGATAGGCAGTCAGGCAGTCATCAAATCAGTAAACTCAAACAATGTAATACAACCACTAAAACCATGCCTAAATAATCATTAAATAAAATCCTTAATAAATAGGGATTCTTTCGTGTGCTATAGGTACAGCACAGGAGATACAAAAGCTATAAAAAGGCTAAATACGCCAAATTATTCCAAAATTTTATATCTATATCATGCACATAAATGCTTAAAAAAGCTAGACAAGGAACTACTAATTTCTGGCCAAAGGCTATGATAAAACTTTCATAACTTTGGTACTTAAGCATATTTCTTTGCTTATAATTAATCTTATCATGGAGATTTTTTTTCGGATGGGGAGGGTTCTACCTTATCCTGAAGTTCCATGATTATCCTGCATGATAAAAACCAATATTAAATTTTAAACTAAACTAAAAAAATAAGCTAAATTAAGCTATTGCTTGACAAATTTCATAAATTTGAGCAAAAATTACTAACTTATACTGACTAACGATCTACCTTTCTTTTCTTTGCTCTTATGTTACATTAACTTCAGAAAAAATAGATAAATCCATTTTTTCTAATATTTATGTGCTATTTTACTCCATGGTTCAATTAACATTTGAAAACACTAAGCAAATAAATAACAACTGTATTTAATTAGGCCTCAAATTTCTCTTTCAGAATCTAAGGTGTCAGCGCAAAGAGCCTTGCCGTTTGTTTTCGGTGAGGAAAAGGTCGAAGCTTTTGGATGAGGTGAACACCAACACTTTGTGCCAGTGTCCTCACAACCATCACTGCCCCAAACATCACACACACCCGGGTGTGCTTCAGGGGAAGAGCTACGTCGAGGAAAGCATACGAACTTATAGCGCGTACTGCTTAAATTGAAAGACGTTTGTGAATAGTGTACAGACCCAATCAAAGACATTTTAAAAAATAATTTATTTTCGTCTTTTTCTCTCTTTTTTTAATGATTAAATCATTGACACATCTACTATGTCTACGTTAATACTACTTTAAAACTTAAGTTATGCATAAAAAAGAAAAAAAACATGTAATTACAACTTTTTACTCAGTTTAATTCACTGGTTTTCAATCGCTGTGTTTATTTGTTATACTGTTGCTTGTAAATTCAATTCATTACATCATAGTAGTTATATTAGGACAGCCACTTTATTGAATTTGTTTGTTTAATAAATCAGAAAATTATAATTTGTTATAATGATGGTGGCTATGTGAAATTTAACATTGAGCTCATACTGCTCCTTTCTTTTCAGATAAAAACCTATGGGAAATAATTGGTATATTTAAAAAAATAGTATTTAATATAGTACAATTAAAGATTACACAATGATCTTGCAAGGTTTGTACCTGATCATGTAAAGCAAACTTGTATTTCCTATTATTATAACATTAGGTACTAGAAGTTTATGAGTCAAATATTATGTAAAAAATGTATTTTTGTACATAGTAAGTATGATAAATCTCCTATGGACCTTTGGTTGATATATCTTTTGAGCTCAATGAGTTTGAAATGTATATTTCTGTAATAACGTTTAATTTCTCGACATGGTACATAGTACTCGGCATGTTTATATAGTTTTTGTGTTTAATAAATTATTCTTTTTAAAAAATGTGTTGTAAAAACTGGTATTTGTTAAATTTAAGGTTACCACTATAATCACGTATGAGCTTTAATACATAATATATGATTATATGAATAAATATTTTTATCTTTATGTTTAAAAATGTTATTTGTGCACCTCCATTGAACAACACTTTATTTTTAGTTAATGAAAGGGGTTATATAAATAAAATAAAAAGAATATTAATCAGGGTTATTTCAGAAAATAACTTTCACAGGAAGATTGTCCCTTATTTTAGATTTAACCCATTACAGAAGGTCATGTTAAAATTAACTGAAACCTAACGAATTGAATAATTTATTTATTAGGGAAATAACAATATGTATCTGTAGAAATATATAATTGATCTGACAGATACATTGAAGATGGTGAAATGCTGAAACGTATTTGAGGAACCAACCCAGAGAGGATATGCAGACCAAAATAATTGGATATTACATTCTTAACCCCTACCATACCTAACATAACCTAACCAGTCCTAACCCTACCTAGTCTATCCTAAATGCATCCTCACCAACCCAGTGAGGATAAGGAAATCAAAATGTTCATTAACTCCCCTCCTAACATCGAAATGATCGTTAACTCCTCTCCTAACCCCTATCCCACTTAACTGTATTTAATCACTGCTTAACCCCAAATCTACCTAGAATATCCTCAACACATCTGGCAAAGCGACCAAGTGAGTATAGACAGATCAAAATGATCGGTAATTCCACTTCTAACCCCAACCCTACCTACATATACCTACCCCCACCTTACACAAACCTAATTTAACTAATCCCTAACCTTAACTGACCAAACACAATCTAATCCTAACCTAACGAGTCCCCTACCTAGCCAATTCAAGAGGTATCTGATAGACTGCAGATAACAACAATAGGCTGCAAAAATGATTGGTAATCATTACAACTTCATCACCCACACAGACTCAAGAAATCTCACGAAGAAAATAAAAGCCTCAAGGGTCAAAAAATAGTTTGCAAACACACACACACACACACACACACACACACATTTTGGCTTCTACCACAATGAATTTATCTGTTTAGCTTAGTAGACTGGACAAGACCACCTGTCTATTCTACAGTACAATGGTACATTAATACATAATGGTAGATAATTATGGATAGGTGGGTAGATATCATCCACTCTAAGATAAACTCATAAATTCATTATTGTAGAAGGCATTATTTTTAATTTTGTAAGTAAATGTTTATATTTGTTAAGGATAACAATTAGAAATAGTTTCAAAGTCCTGAAAAAGGGGATATATTCCTTGAAAGCTTAATAAAACTGAAATTTTTCTTTCTTTCAAATTCACGTTATCTTTGATTTTTTCTATACAATTATAATATTAAGGCTGATATCAAAGAAATTCAGTTATATGTTCGTTACATTATCTGCTTTTTGACATTACAAGCATTTTTTTATTCATTAAAAAGGCGTATGCAGAAAAACAAAATCAAGATGTTATAAAAACGAACACCCATAGAAAGATAATAAAATTAAATATTAAATTAAAAGAAAGGAAGTGATCAAATTTGGAAATTGAATGCTAGTTGGTGCTTTGCTCAACATAAGTCTTATTTCAGGATGCTGCATGTAGGTAGCGCAAGCTGCCTAAGTTGAACTTTGAAAATGCGTTAGCTATATAGAGTAAGCAGCTTCATCTTGCATGTGCACTAAGGTTTCAACAACATTGTGATTCTGTTTAGTCTACTAAGTTGATGTATAAAGAAGAAATAACAAAATGTAAAATGAATCACAATTAATGATTAGAATTACATATATTGTGTGTGTATACACAGCAATTTTCAGATTAATTTTAGTCTCAAATATTTAAAAATGTACTATATTATAATATTACATTCCCATATTCTCTCTATATTTGTGGCTTTACCATCTTCAATCGACCTGAGCTATTTTTGCAAAGTTTGTACCTTCTGTCTGTTTGAATTACGAGAACTTTCAAAGTCAAGAATTCTAGAAACCTCTGCATTAACAGTTATAGTATCTTAAAATATTCATAATGTACCTTTTAAAATAAAAATTATGTATGTTATGATGGGATTGGTAAGGATTTGTAGGAACTGAAACCAAGAACACTTAACAGACAATTCAAAGTAAATAGAGGTTTTATGTCAAAAGGTTCTTAAGTAAAAATCAATAAAGACAACAAAATAAAAGTAACACTTCAAAAATGTTCAGATCTAAACTAAAAAAACGAACAAAAACAACTCGTGGCAACAAACAGCAACATGTTCTGACAATGAGATAATTTTCTTTAAAACTGAAGTTTGCCAGTTCCTATCAATAAATCTTCAGAACTTTGTGACAAAGTGGCAAATTGTAAAATTTGTTAGTCAGAATATATACATAAGTAACCATTTTTAAGTATAGCATTTTCTTGTAGTCAGGTCTCTACATATATATAAAAATATGTATGAAATTTAAGAAAGAATTTTTCTTCCTTTCTACTTAAAATTTCATAACTGTTAGATGAACTTCCATTTCCACAATATGAACAACACTTTATTCTATATTACTTATACTTACCTAAACCAGTTCCTAACCCTACCACACTAAACTAACCATTCACTAACCCTAACTACCAAACCAGCCCTTGACCCTAACCCTAACATTAAATTCTTAACTGGTCCCTAACCCCAACCCTAGCCTAACCTGACTAACCCTACATACCCTATCCTAAACAAATCTTACACACCAACCCTGTAAGAATAGAAAAACCAAAATCTACCAATTTAGCTAATGCCTAACACTAAATTTACCTAATATAACCTAACCAGTCCCTAACCTAAACGCATCGAACCAATCAACAATATTTCTACATATATATTTCCGTAAGTTAAAGAATGTTTAGGTAGTTGATAACAAGTAAAATTTTCTTAATTATGAAAGGAAGGAAAGGCAGACAAAATGACCAAATTTTATTTTACAGTTGTTAATGTAATACGTTATTACAAATTAAAAATAATAAAGATGAACATATCTTCACATTTTTCTTGAAATTTTAATGAAGTAATTAGATGCAATAAATTATTAAGTATACATGTATACACATGCATAATAGACAGGTGAAAAACCCCTTCTTAACCTGATCTAACTAGTACCTAACTCACCTAACCCTACAAGACAGCCCAGCATAAATATGCAGACCAAAATTTTTGATAACTCTACTCTTAACTCCAACACTACTTAACTTAATTTAACTAGTCCCTAACACTAACCCTACCTAACCTTATTTAACTAGTCCCTAACCTTAATCCTACCTAACCAGTCCCTTAAACTTAACTCTTAAACTTAGTCTAACCATTTGTTAACCTAAACGAACCCAAAATATGTGTATCCAGACAAAAAAATACCCTTGTTAAAATAACGAAAATCAACGTTATTTAATAGAGGAAAACATGGTATTATTTACAAAAGTTGTGTTCTTCAATGAGATTTCAGGTCTACCCACTGTTCTCTGTGGCCAGCATTAAACGACAAAGGGAATATCCAGACAAAATCAGTAGTGTCTTGTCAAGGGGCTGTCATCGTTACACTACTTTTTTCCTGTTCAGTGATGTGTACTGTTAATTAAAGCATAAAAAAGGTCGTTTTATCTCTCAGAGAAATCATTTATGCTACCCAGGAAAAATGAACAAACTTTTCTAGCCTATCCCTTACCCAGTGGTTTTCTGCACCAAATGCAGCAAGTACATCGATTCAGTGTCCTTGCCCTTTACTTAGGGTGTCCCTTAAGAAGAGGTGCTAAATATATAGAAAATCGTCCATGCTGGTATATCCTGTAACGGACGTTTCACTCATGACATATTAACAAAATCTATAAGTGGAATTATCTACAGTTTTCTTCAAAGTTTAATGATTAGTTTCAATTAATTAATAAACTTTATTTAAGTGTATAATAATTAGATAGGTAATAGAAAACGAGAAAAAATCGATGTGAATGAATTAAAGAACTTTCTTTTGTTTAGGAAAGCTTTGTCGGTGGTTCAGTGAATTGTTTCTGCAAAAATCTGAATCATTTGAGATCAGACAGATACACAGAGAATATAAGAAAATAAAATGATCAACTAACATGTAACTAGACCATTTCATCAGTCCTAAACGATCCTTGTAAAGGAAAAATGAAGATTGTTTTAACTCTAATTAACAACGAAATTAGACCTATTTAAATATGTCACAATTTCCTGTTTTTGAGACCTCAGGTAATTTATCTTTGTGCGACCCATTTAGCTTGACTTTTTGTATATTTTTTTATTTTGTATAATGCGCCATGCCGTGTCAAACTTGACTGACAGACTTTCGCCTACAACGGCATATCGCTGAAATTCGTCTGAGATAGCAAAAACAGAGCTAAACGATGAAAAAGCTAACGATCTAAACCGGAAAATATTGAAGGATGTAGCTTTTTTTCTCATTGTAACTAATTAATCTCTTGTTAATAGGTTTATTAATTTAACTTTACTTGATGATATTTCAGATAGAGCTTAGAATGAAATTAGACGATTGTCATCGAGAAAAACCGTTGCGCATTGGTGATCTTCGCTGATGAGTTTGCAAAAATTGTCTCAGCTGGCTGGAAGGAGCTCATAGCTTCCCGACCCTCAATATACGCCGGATGTGCGGGCCGCGCCTTCGTTTTAAAAGATATTACAAAAAAAATTGAGTTACCTCTGGATAAGAATATAGTAGAATATGATAAAGAAATTGCCAGAAAAATGACAGTGAACTATCAATAAAATGGTGAACAGGGGGTTCAAGAAATTATAGCACATATTTATTCCTTTACAGGAATTTAGGAAGGACAATTATTGCTGCAGGAATTTTACAGTTAATCATAACAAAAGAATGATTTCTTAGACAAAATGAATATTTAGTACTGTCGTTGGATACGTACAACATCAAAGATTTTTAATAGAATTTGGGATTGAACAGTTTGGATGCGACGGGCATTGGAAAGTTTGGCTGAACGTGTCATAACTTTTTGGGCGTCTCTCGGTTTCCACGTCGTTTGTCGAAGTACGGTTCTAGGTACACAGCTGGGAAGAGATTATTATTTAAATAAA